GTTGTTGTTGTTGTTGTTGTACGGAGCACCAGCTTTTGCCTCCAGTTGTGTAGAAGAAACAAAAGCAATATCTTGTTGTGGGGATGGGGATCCTGTTTTTGTTCGTTCGTTGTTGTTGTTGCTGTTGGTTGTGGTGGCGGCGGCGGTGACTGTTGCTGTTGGCGTCGATGACGCGGTCTCAGTTGTCGTCGTCGTGGTCGTGGTCGTCGTTGTGGTGGTAGCTGCGGCGGCGGTGGTTTCAAATGCACTGTAGCAGAGCAGCAGCCTCCATTGGCCGCAGCTTGGAATAAAAGCTCTTGGGCAGCCTCGTCACCAGGAGGGAACTGAGCTTTGTTTCGGGTCTTAGACGCTAAGATTCAATGGAAATGCTACAACAAAAATGAGGTCGAGGGTCTTCGGGGGTTGAGGGCTTCGCATGTTTCCGCCGAAACTCGGCTTTCAGACTCCAGGCTTCAAACTGCGCTGGTGCTACATAAAAACCTTGACAAACCTGCACAGATCTTGTCAGGAAGTTCTAGAGTCCTATCCTATCAATCCTCTGGCTTCAATCAGAAGTCTTTTCCGGGACCGATCCTGCCACAGCTGCCGCTGCCCAAGGACACCCAACGAAAGCGCAAGGTCCTTCATCGCTCTCGTCTTTACACTGCAAAGGCAACACTCGCAAAGAACGAGTGCAACCGCAATCCCAGTCACAACGCTACCAGCAACAAATCCAATACAACAAGCATAGGGAACAGTGTCATAATGACGAATGAACCACATCCATATGAAGCTTTGACGTTTAACTGATCAAAGCAGGCGCTTAAAATGCCGTCTTCTTGCCATCAAGCCCTAACCCCGTCCAGCATGGTCTGGGGTGGGTTTAGGTGGTCTGTCCTTCGTCGGTGCGCCAGGAAGATGGATCAGCTTTTCCTTGGCTTTGTTTGCAGATTATTTTCAAGGAAACTCCGTGCACATGTGTATGGCTCGTGCGCATGTTTCTGTGTAGAACAAACCAAGCATGTCGCGGTTTGCAAGCCTGAACCTTCATGGGGGTTGTTCTCCGGTCCCTATTAGGGGGTACACCTTACCATACGTACTCTAAGCAGATATTCACCAGATTGTTTTGCAGGAAAAAACACAAACTGTGAACACTTCCCAAACGGTCAGAGAAACCCCTTCTTCCCCTCCTCTGAATATCCTGTCCCGACCCACTCCCCCAACTCGTGGCAGAATGGACAACCCCGACTTGCTCAAAGCGAAAATACGCACCGCATCCTCCCACCTCCCACAGCTGTTGCACTGCACGCTCTGAACCGTCTATTGGGCTACAGTATATCCCTCAAGACACATTATCCGTGCCTTCACTTGGACTTTCAGCATAAGCCAACCGCATCCAACCCAACACATCAACAATCCTCAAATTTCGTCGGGCAAGTCCTACCATCTGTTCGGAAACACCATGCAACCACCTACGGCGATGATTCATCACAGATCCACCCGCTCACAAGCTTTTGGGCCAGGTTTGGCACTCCTTCTACCACAAGGTTTGGCACTCCTTCTACGACAAAGACCAAGACATGTAAAGCCAGTCGGATGTAGACGGAAGATTGTTAAAGGCTCGGCCGGCTCAGCTCCGTACTACGAAGACACACACGTAAGGAACTCTATACTTTGTGACGTTTCAGAAAGACCACGCAGAAAGTAAGCGACGACCCTGAGGATTCCAAACCGCTTGGTAGCAGGGCGCCGCGGCTTCCAACAGCGCCGCCTTTTCCGCACCGCTGCGTATGAAGGCCAAAAGATCCTGCAAGAGGCATGGTTTTCAATGGAGTGAGTCAGTAGTCAGCTTCCAGTTCAGTTTTGTTCGTAACCCGTTATATTGATAAGGATAACTAGTTAAAACTGGCATCATGCTAGCAGGCCAACATAGCACCAGAAGAAATCAGAGGCAAGCCATGACATCATAAGAAGCCAATAAACGCGTCAACTCAGAAAAGAACCTTCACAACTTAGAGCTCGGAACCCGTACGGCCTCTGTACAAAGCAGCAATCTAGAACCTAAGCGATGTAGTCTTAAACGACTTGACGTGCCTTGGATTATAAAATCATAAAAACCTTAAAGACGCCTTGTGACACCTTTCTAGAACCCTTCAAGAAAGCCCTTATCCAACACTTGGTGGAACTCTATATGAGCTCCTGTGCAAGGCACAACAAAACCGTGTGTAAAACCGTAGTTAGAACCCTTGATGTACAAAAAAAACCTAAACTTAAACCCTAAACCCTACACCCTAAACCGTGTTTCGGCCTCAAACACCCAAACTTGCAGATCCCGCCTTGCGCGTCTCCGGGAGGTGGCGGCCGGAACTCGGCATGACCAGGAAGGGCAGCCATGGCGTGCTGCAAACTTAACTCAGGGTGGAGGGCAGTTTAAGTTTAGGATTCAGGATCTCATAAACTTTTCGGTTAAGATTCAGACATCAAAGTTTTGTTTAAGATTTAGAGTGGGGTTTAAGGCTTCGGGTCCGAAACCCGTTCTGCACTCAGAACTCCGACCTCGCAACTACTCTTGGAGGCTTGCAACTCAAATCCGAAGTTTGGTATGGTTTGGTCCGTTGGGACTTCTTCCGTGCCTGAGGGATTAGAGGTGTAGCTCTCTCGCGATACAGGGTTCTGCAGGCCCAGGCTGCTGAGAGATGAGTGTCACTGGTGGTTCACGGCAAGGGCTCGAGGACATCTCGACACCTGGAGGTAGTAGAACCGATTTGACCACTTCGGGATGCAGAGTTTCAGTGATATTAGGGACCGGCACGGGAAGGTGGTGATGATACTTTGCCATTTCAGACTCGGACGTTTTGGCTAAACAAGTTCAGTCTTGGCCGACGTGCCAGCGAAAAGGTTTTAAAACTTGGATAGGACTTCCCATAGGCCCCATAGTAGTTCCTTTTTGGGATTACAATATATATATATATATATCGGATTCTAAATGGGAACCCCAAAAAGGAACTACTATGGGGCCTATGGGTAAAGGCGCCCCTGACCCTGGACCCCTCCTGGAATAAGGGCCCGGGTTTCTCGTTTGCAGGTTGCTTCCCGGGCTTGTGCGCGGCGTTCGGGTTTGTGGAGTTTCTTCGGGTGTGGCGTTTACGCTCTCGCAACTCGGACTCCGCCAGACGAGGTCTCTTGTGTCCAACTAGGTGTGGCGTTTGGCGCTCCCGTTTTGTTATAGGATTGTCGAAAGGCTGTCGGGGATACTCTCTTCACTTGTGGTGCTACACTATTCGATCACCCAGTTGCTTTGCTCGGTAAAAGGGGTTCGAATCCCGGTGTTGAGCACAGTTGTAGGTTCGTACTGAGGGGGTCTCATATATATATATATATACACACATAACTCATATTTATAAGTACAATCATGTGTATATATATATATATATACATATGCATTATATACACACATATGCATACATATATATATATATATATATATATCACGTCTTACCTGCCGGTGCCCTTGCGGTCAACCGCCTTTGCACCCTGGATCTTCGGGTCCCGGTGTCAAGTCAGGCCTAAAACCTTAGGCTGAGGGCAAAGCCGGGCTTAGGATTCGGGCTCGAATCGAAGGTGCCGTGTTTTCGGGTGTTGCGCTGAGGTTTTGATGAAGAAGCCTTGAACCTAGAAATGTTGAATAAAAGACACTGGATACGCCAAAATCACTGTAGGTAAGGTTGCTGTCAACAATGGCTGTGACGTCTTATAACTATATTCCTTGATTTCAGCATACATGTTTATGCGCTCACGAAGAACCATCCATGAATGACCACTGGAGCCGGGGGCACCACTTCCGGAGACGGCTCAGTTTCCAGTCGGTCCTGATCCCTGGCAGGTGGAGGTCGATCTCAATACTGGTTCCCTGTTGGATCTATTTTAGAATTGATCATGTTTATTCCATATTTGGTTTTATTGCAACAAAAATGAAACTTGTACCCAACAAGGACCCAGATAATTAATTATGATGACTTGAAAGTTGTTTCCAGCGTCAAAGGCATCTAGCCGCTAGCCTCGCCTTGTGGAAAAGCTGTCGCAAAGTCTTATGTTACACATGAGCCGGCTCAGGTGTGAAGAAGACAGTCGAACAACTTATTCATACAATTGAAATTTCTCAGGATTTTTTAGCTCCCATATTACATAGTGCAAGGATGCATAAGTCGCCGCTCTAGACTCTAGATATCATGTTTGCGTGTGGAAAAAAAACTAATCTGAACAGAGTTGCGATCGCTGTGGGACGCACACACACACACACACCCACCCACCCCTTCACCCCGAGAAGTTGCAAGGTGTGGTGGGGAGCAGGTGGGGCTGGGGGTGCCGGGGGGCGGGGAGGGTGGAGCACATGGGGCTTAGAACATACATATTACATATCTCAAGCAGCGTTCCGCAACGGACCCGTCGACATCGCACCAAGTCGGCTGATTCTTGTGCAGCCCGGAGCTCTATGAAATAGAAGAGCCCAGCACGACTTTTCAGTTAAGCATACTCAAGAGTCTTGGCCAACAGTGCCTCCAGGATTACGATGCAACAGAAATGCTGACTGACACGGTGCTGGTCAAGCTACGGCCGCCATTGCCTAGTTGCTGTCGCTGTGCTCAAACCATTACATACTCATAGGCCCCATAGTAGTTCCTTTTGGGGGTTCATACTTAGAATAATCCCAAAAAGGAACTACTATGGGGCCTATGGGTACACCCATCATTGCTGCGAAAATTGCAGTGTGGGCCAAGGCTTCACTATGGAAGCTTTCAGTCCCAGATACCACAAACCGATAACTGAACCCCAAACCCTATAAGCCCAGCCTATAAACTCGACAAAGCTGACGAAGATGCGGGACTCTGCGCCTGCCGCTTTGGCGAATGAGACGGAGGAACTGCTCCTCGCACAGGGGGTTGGCCCTGCCTTGCCTTGCCACTGGGCGTGTTCTTGTCGTTGTTATTTCCGTGCGAACGTTGACTGGCTGACTCACCCATGGATGCGTTTGCAAACAGAAGAGCCAATCTGAAGCAGGGAAAGCTCGGAACTGCATCACATGGGAAACCCAGTCAACCTCGTCATCAGAATGGTCCCAGGGGCACCATGAAGCACTTTGCATGTAGGATGGGCCTTTCAGAAAATGCCAACGACCAAACAAGGCCTGGATAGAAGCAAGAGAAGACACTCGACACCGGGCCACTGCGAAGCGTAAACTGTAGGGACCAGGGAAAGAATCTTCAGTCCCCAGCAAGCGAGGCTGGAATGGGCCCTACGACATCTAGAACCTTTCAGCCAAATCCAACAGACAAAAGAATTACACAGGCAACAGTCCCTAGAGAGCTGACGTCTAGTGCGACTCACTCCATAGTAATCCTATACGCACTCACAACTCGGCACAGGCAAAGCAGGTCCCTTTGTTGTTAGGGCGCCTGCGGCTGCTGCAGGGTTCTATGTTTGGTGTAGTACCTTCCTCCTTCATACAGCCTTGTCTCCAAGATGGGGGTTTCCGATAATCGGGGACCCTAATCTAGTACCCGAGATTCCCGAGATAGTAGGATCCCTAAAATAAGGACTCCAAAATAGGATAAAATAGAGTACCCCTTATTTTCGGAAACTCCCAGATGCTGGAAGAATCAAACCAGGCCACTGCGTGCAGCAACGTCTCCAACCAAACCTCACCTCACCAGCGCGCCTTGCCGCAGGCCCCTGCAGTGAGCAGCACCTTGTGGGAGTCCCAGGAGGCCTATGCGCACTCCACTTAAAATCCCGAAACCTACAGCCCAACATAAGCCTTTGTGCAACCCAAAGAGTCCAAAGTACCTATATAGTAACATGTAAAGGTTTGTATATTATGCTTTGGGGAAGCATCGCCCATAACAATATATACCTAGGGCCCTTTGGGCAAAGGCCTGAAACTGGGGAGCAAGCTCGCAGCGCTGGAGGAGGGCGAAGTTGCCACTGCACCTCGGGAGCTTCAGCTCCGTCTTCAGGATAGTTTTTATTGGCTGTTTTTTGCTTCGGGACTCCATGGATCTGCCCGGGTTTTTTTGGCTTTCTGGTCGGGCTTTTTGTTTAAGGCCGTTTAGGGTTCAGGCAACGGAGGTGACATGCGATGCAAAGTTGTGGGGTGTTTGGAGTGCAAGGCTTTCCGCAGGACGGGTTTGGGTCTAAGGAAGGCTTCTGAGAGGAGCTCGAAGCAGCGTGCCTCAGGTAGGTATGTCCAGACATGCTGAGGACACGAGTGGGCCCTGGCGTTAGGGGGCATTGATAAGACGATTGATAGACGTCTCGCTCTGAGGAGCTCGGGCCCCTACAGGTAGCATGCTCGGCCAAAACCCGATAGTTTAACTGTCGGTTTAGGGTTTGTATAGGGAATAGGGTTTAAGGTTATAGGGTTCATAGCAGCCCCATACTGTCACGTCCTGAAGTCATCCTAGCGAAAACCCCACCGTCGTTCCGCTGCCTCGGGCTCTTTCTCTTCACCCACCACCGCCACCACGTGGCCACGTCGGGGGAGAACTCTGACCTGGAAGTTGATCAGTAAATAAAAAAGTTTCGGAACATGTGAACCGGAGTCTTGTTGAGGACGTTTGAGACCTCAGGTTCCGAAATGGTCACCCGCAGAACCCTCCTTTGGATTGTCAAGGCCGCATCTGGTCTCTATCTCTCGCTCTCTCCCTCTTTCTCTCGCTCTTTTTGGCGACGGCGTGTTTGCATATAACCAGCATGAAACTTGTGTTTAGATCCAAAGCCTGAACCACAGCCGACATGTTCTCAGAGAGCGTGAAATACAGTAGGGCACGATGTTCACGTGTGAACACATGAACAAAGGAGCCCTCCAAGGAAAGGTTGGACAATCAACTCCTAAATCCAAAACTTCCTAAGCCTTACAAGCCCTAAAGGCCATAATCCATAAGCCTGTAATTACTATAAGCCCTAATTAAAGCCCAGACCCTACCCCCAAATAACTACTCAAACCCCTAATCCCAAGACCCTGAACCCGACGCCCAACAAGAACGCTGCCGACCAGGGCGCTCGCCACGTCGGCGTCGCCTCCGCCGTTTCCAGAGCGCGGGCCACGCTGCCGTCTTTGAAGCCTTGGAGTGAAAAATGCTCGTAGATGAAAATTGTTCAAGCTTTCCTTGAACGGTACCGTTCAGGGTGCGCTCATTCCGGCTTCCTTGATTACGGCTTCAGGGTTTTTGGCCTTAGGGTGCGGAGCTTCAAGGCTCAGGATTTGGGGTCTAGGGTCTAGGATCCAGGATTCAGCTTCACAAGCTTTGGCCCGAGGGTGAAGGTGTGAGTTACGGTAACTCCACCTGCTTGAATTCTCGGACTGTGGGATTGTTGCATGTAGGGCGTAGCGCTGAAGAGCTTGTTTTATCGACACTTCGATGCGGGCCAGGTCTTTAGACTGTGGGTCGTGTGGCCTCGGTATTGCCCTGCATGTGGTGGACCTTCATATGCTGCTTCTGCCATCATGTTCGACCAACATGTATCCTTCCTTTTGGCGTTGCGTTGAGCAGCTTTCTGCCAGTTAGTACTGGTTGCTCTCAGTGATGGGCGAATCTGTTTATAAACACTTTGAGCAACCCAACATCTACGTATCCAAGTACGTGGAATGTAACAGCTGCAACGACACGGGACTCAGAGCAACCACACGGCTAAAACGCCGTAATATAGGGGCCTTAATAATTAGACTAGGGTTTGGAGGCCCATTATAGTCCAATCATAAGAAGGAACCCCCAAAATAGTATAGGTAATTATTAAGGCCCCTACAGTAATCATCTTCAGCTCAAAAAGTCACAAAAGACATTTTCTTGAAAAGGAGACCAACCTCCTTGCGCATGCGAGTCCAAGCCTGCCGCGCACGGCCGTCCCTTCTCGTATAATGTAGCGGCCTTAATAATTAGACTAGGGTTTTGGGGGCTCCTTTATGGTGCCATTATAATAAGGAGCCCTAAAAATATTATAGGTAATTATTTAAGCTTCTATATTATTCAGCCTACTAAGTTTAGAATCAATGCCAAGGCTCCGAAACTCTGCTTCCATCAGTGCTTTGCTCACGTTTAGTGGCTGGGGTTTAAGGATAGTAGGTTATAGGGTTTAGGGGTTAAGCGCGTAAGATTTCAGGCTTTCAGTTCGACAAGAAGCGGACGGGATGAAATCTCAGCCGCTTCTCGGTGGTATCGCCTCGGGAACAAGCTTCGGGTTGAAGAGTTTAGGGGCCTTAATTAACAGAATAGGGTTTTGGGGGGCCTTTACTACGACGGTTCAAATAAGGAACCCCCCAAAACCCTATTAAAAATCATTAAGGCACCCATATTATAGGAGCTGAGGGTTGAAGGGCAGAGGATTTTGGGCTGGAAATCACGATGGGACAGTATCGTAGTGCTGAAGAGACGGGGCAGCAGGCAGGCCACCCCACATTCTGGGAATCTGAGTAGTGCTGACAACTTAGATGCGGCTACATGTCTGCTGTGAGACTTCTTTGTATGTAAGTATGTGTGTATATATACATATATATATATATATACATTTGCATACATACTTACTTACATGCATACATAAAAATACAAACCAAAGATCAAGCATCATAATATCTACAATTAAAATATCTCATAGATAACTACGAGCGAGAGAGAGAGAGAGAGAGGACACAGTGATGCTTTCGGTTTTGCGGCCCGGGCATGGCCGCCAAAACACACAAAATGGCAGCGAAACACGGGGTGGTGAATGCCAAGCTGGCTTAGGGCTTAGGGCTTAGGGTTTAGGGTTTAGGCCGGGGCTTTGACTTTGACTTGGGGATTCAGGTTTCATCGGGATCATCTCGCATCTTATGTGTCCAACATAGCGCTGGCGTCCGTTTCCCCTTCTTGCATGAACCGTCCATTGCGGGTCTAAGTCCCTGCAAGCCCCTAAGCCAACAAGGGCTTATAGAGTTCAAAGGGTTGGTAACACTCCACAAAACACTGTTGAACCAAACTCTTGCAGAGACGCCAGGCGCATAGTCTTCGCGGCGTGGCAACTGCGTCAGTCGCCTATCACTCACTCTTTGCGCGGCCGGGAGGTGTGTTGCGGGGCCAGAAGGTTTCGGCTTGAATTAGGCGTCACGGCACATGTAGGCTAATGTATGACAGGAAGTACCGGCTACTAACAAGAACCACAATAAAAAGCCCTTCGCAAAAAGGGAACGAACAGAATCCGTCGACCACCCACTGGCACCTTGAATTCATATTTGGTAGAAACATTCTTTTGGAGCCCGGTGCAAAACCCTCAACATGCCCAGAATGGCTTCCAAGACGAACGTGATGCCCCAGGTGCATGACAAGGGACAGTGCCAAGGTCTTACGGACTGTCGGGATGTGGAGACTGCAGGGACTTATAGTGGCACATTTGCTCCAATTCTCTCTAGTCTAGACCTAGCCTGGGAACTCGTGTCCTGGAATGAAACCCTACGCCCTAAGCCCCCAAAACAGAAACCCTGAAGCCCTGTATCCCTTTCTAATGACCCTTGATGGTGCCCCTTATGATACCCCTATGCTGGTTCCCTGTTTTGGCTATATTGAACATGATCATTCTTATTCCTTATTGGGTTTCATTATACTAAAAATGAAAAATTGTATCCAACAAGGATCCAGTATAGGGTTTAGGGTTTAGGGTTTTTTTCCTCATAACAAAAATGAAAATAAGGTATACATATAGAGTCTGAGTAACGCCCTAAACCCTAAACCCTAAACCCTAAACCCTTTTGCATCCAGGACTCTTGCAAGCAGCCGGGAAACTCCTAAACCCTAAACCCTAACTTGAAGCCCCGGTCCCTCGGCTGATCCTTCGCCCCTCGGCTCGGAGAGCGAACAGCGCCCGTGGCCGCGGCAGAACCGGGCCTGTTAGGAAACCTCCAAAGACGTCGTTTAGGGTTCAAAGGTTTAGGGGTTTAGG